TGTAATACCCTATCAGTATTTTCAGACTGAGAGAACAACAAAAATCTTAACTTAAAGATGAACTAATATCAATTAAAGAAATTTAATGTGTTTAAATGATAAAATACATACCCTCGCAGTTACACTGCCACCTGATCCAAATAAGAGACCATAACCAGCTGTCTTTGCTTTTTTTGGTCTTGGTTTCTTATATGCAAGAGTTGCACCACCTCTCAAAGTTGTGCTAGTCTTTCTTTTTTGGCCACCTGCACTAGAAGTTGATTGTTGATCACTAATTGGACCTGCACTTGGAGTGCAACTTGCACTTGGAGTGCAACCTGCACTTGGACCTACACTTGGAGTGCAACCTGCACTTGGACCTGCACTTGGACCTGCACTTGGAGTGCAACCTGCACTTGGACCTGCATTTACACTTGACTGGCTTCCAGCAGTTGCAGCACTTGCAACACTTGTTCCAGCAGCAACATTTGAAGTTGCAACACTTGTTCCAACAACAGCATTTTTCTACAAACATATTTTAAAGTCAAAAGTATAACAAGAGTAAAATTCAGTAACAAAGAGACATCAAAGCACAACTTACCAGAGTTGGACATCCTTTCTTGTTATGTCCAAAAGTCTTACACACAGAACATTTCATTTTTCTTCCCTTCCTTGTAGCCTTTCCAAACTTCTTCTTAAGTGGCTCATCACTATCTTTTCTCCTATATTTTCCTGGTCTTCCTAGCATAGCTATAATTTCAGGTGGTTCAATGACTGGTCTATCACTTTTTGGCCACATCTTCATGTTTGTCATAGGTTGAATAAACCTATTATATGCTTTCAGGTATGTTTCCTTCTTATACCAGTGATCAACAAATGTATCAACAACCCAATCCTTATAATGAATTGTTGTAAGTGCATGGCCACAAGGAATTCCTTTTAATTGCCATGACCTACAACTACACACCTTCTTTCTTAGGTCAACAACATGTTTATATGGTGGATCATGAATCAAGCAAAGATCACCATTAAACTTTACCTCACAATTATCTGCAATTTCAGCATTTTTTCTAAGAATACCATAGCCATTGGTGCTACATCAGTAATCCATTTTTCTGAAAATTCTCTCATGTGATTCATTCTTTCCATAACTTTGACTCTTATATCCTCTAGCATAATGATTATTGATTTAAACCTAGCACCTAAAATCCAACGGTTGAAAGTCTCACACATGTTGTTCTCAACCACATCACACTTGCTATGTTCTTTAAAATATGCCCTACACTATGCTTCTTTGTTATACTTTAACAAAGCTTCTACAATGCCTACTCCTAACTCACTCAAGTCATCAAGTTTGGACTGTAAAAGTACCTCAAATGATGCCCTGGCAACCTGCCAGAATTTTCTTCTCCTTTCTTTACCCCTCCAGTCTTTCTTCCAGTTTGCCCATATATGCCTAGCACACCATCTAATTTCAGCATTTGGCAATACATCAATAAGTGCAAGATGAAGACCCTGTCAAACAAAGAACATTTGACATATAACAATGTTAAATATTAATTACTCCAAAAATGAAGAAATAAATTTAACAAATAATATAGTAATACCTTTTGCATATCAGACATCACTGTTAGTCCTTCACTTTCTGTAAGCTCCAAATCATGTTTGATGCACTTGAGAAACCAAGACCATGTGTCCTTGGTTTCTTTATCAACTACTGCCCATGCTATAGGGTACATCTGATTATTTCCATATTTGGAAATGCAAGATAACAATTCACCTTTACATACACTTTTAAGAAATGCACCATCTAAACCAATAATCCTTCTACACCCTTCTTTCCATCCAATTTTAAAGGAACCAAGACAAATATAGATGCTCATAAACACCTCTTTTCCTGGAATTGTGTTCTTGGATGTCCTAATAGATACAGTAGTTCCAGGATTTGTGGTCTTTAATTGCTCAGCATAATCATACAACCTAGCAAACTCCTCTCTGAAATCTCTCATATGTTCATTCATAACTCTCAGTTTTGCCTTTCTACAACTTGTCATACTAACATACAAACCATATTGCTTTTGTATCAAAGACTGAATCTGATGTAGTTTGATGGTAGACTCACTCATAATCCTCTCCTTGTAATGTTTACTAATCCAAATGGGGGTACACAGTTTGTTTCTTGTTCTTTTAAAACACTTATGGACAGGAAATATGTTTTAACACTGAAATTTCCAGTGTTACCATCAATACTTCCAAGAATATGCCAAGGACAACCTTTTTTATTACACTTTGCCATTATCATTTCCATCTCATTAGGTTTCAACTTAATATTAACACCCTTCTGAATAGAGTAAGTTTGCAGTGCCTCCCTGAACTCTATGTGATTCAAAAATACCATATACAGTTGAAATAAAACCTTTTTAGCAGTTGGATCAAAGTAGATCTTTGTACTTTCCTTCCTAGGTGCTGGATCTACCACTTCATCATTCTCAACAGAATCCCCTTCATCTTCACTAATGTCACTACCAGGATCTGAGCTATCAAAATAAGGGTCATCACCACCCAAATTGCCTTCAAATCTCCCCCTCTTCTCCTTATAAATGTCTTCAAAACCAGCATCTATACCTATAGGACCAGATGGTATCTCATCTAGATTTACTCTAGCAGTCTTTTCTTTAACTTGTTCTTGAATATTAGACTGCCTAGCTTGAAGCAACTCCTCATCCAAATCACTGAAATCATCAATATTTTTATCAATATCATAGAGTGAATCAGAATCAGAATGTTCTTCAACTCTAGGGGCAGGGGCTTGTTCTTCAACTAAAGGGGACTGCTCTTCAACTAAAGGGGGCTGATTTTGGTTTAAATCCCTATTTTCATTTTCATCAAATGGTTGAGATGAAGACACATAAGCCCTATCTATTTGTGGGGAGGATGACATATCAGCCCTATTTTTGTGTGGGGAGGGGAGGACACATCAGCATTATCTTGTTGTGGAGATGAGGACACATCAGCATTAGTGCTAGGCAATACAAATATCTCCTCTACAACTAAAGGTATACTAATGGGATGTACAACATATACATCAACAAAATCAGCACCCTTCAAACCATTCAGAAAGTTTAAAACATCAGAATCAGTATTTAACATGTAAAAAGTACCCTTCTTGTTGACTCTACATCCAAATGTCTCAACATTTTCAACACCCAATTCCATTGCTATTTTATGAAACAACATAATATGCAACTCATCTACATCTATATTAATCTTTTCAACACTACTGATTCCATTGACATACCTTAAAGTAGGATTAGATACAAAACAACCCCCATAGTGAAATTGAAGTGTCACTATAGTTAAAGCCATTACATTACGATGCCTGTAAAGTAAAAAAAAATAACTACAGTTAAACCATAAACTTACCATGACTGTAACACAAAAATCCCTAATTTTTTTAAGGAAATAATGAATTGTTGTAAAAGTTAAAGCCATTAGCTTACCTTGACTGTAATTGCTGTAATAATTCTCCACTAACACTATCAATACCCAAGACAATTGACCAGAAATAAAATATTAATTTTAGTCAAAATTGGGATTTTACGAATAAACCCTAGAATCTACTCGAATTCACGAAATATGCCATTGAAGTCACTCAAAGTCATACATCAACTAAGAAAGCATATTACAATAATATTACATCCAAACCAAAGTAAAATCCCCAAAAAATTTCAGAAAATCGAATGACAATCGACCCTAAAATCAAACAGATACGCGCGAGAAAATGAAAAAGATCAGAACTAACGCAAAAGGCAAGAACTTACAACGAAAATCGGAGTGGAACTGAGTTTCAACTGAGCGAAGGTTTGGAAAATCACAGATGAACATCGCGGAGAGGAGAAGAGAAGAGGAGAAGAGGACAAGTGTAAAAGTCGCGAAGGTTTGAAAAATTTCGCCGGAGTTAGGACTATTCTTAGTTTAAGGTGAGTCATTTGCCACATGGAATATAATATCATACGTGGATTATTATTTTTTTCTTTTTGGCCAATGTGTACGTGTTTGTGCAACACGCTCCATACCACATCAAAAAAAGTGTTTAAAATGTTGGGTTTGGATGGGTTCAGGGGTCCAGATGACAAAAGGGTAAGTAGAAGGGTTCACAATACAAACAGATACAAGTACAAGGGTCCACCAGACCATTCTGCCTTCTAAAAATGTGGATTAGTTGTGTCAATTTTATATCTTTATGACTTAAATAGGTTCTGAACTCATCTTATTCCTCCATAGTTTATTAAATCATCAAAACATCAAAATACAACACATTTGATGAGATACTTTTTTTTAAAAAATAAATAAGAACAATAGGATGATAGTGATATAGAGGATGCTGGTTCTTTCATTAGTTGTTACATCTCTATCATATCTTTTCCACTTTTAATGCAAATATTTCCACGGATCAAACCCCTTTCTAGGGGTGTCAAATGGGAGGGTTGTACTGAGATTTGAGAGATCGAAATAGGTCATTTCCCTTTTCAAAAGAATCAAATAAGAACACAATTATGAATCGTTATGGAAGGATCGATTCACAAGGCGATATATAAATTTAGATCGTTAAAAAGGGATGTTGAAACCTTGGAGTTCATTAAAAGAGAGAACTCGTATCTCTTAGCTCTTCAAAGGGAGACTGAAACCTTAGAGTTCAATGAAAGTGAAAACTCTGATCTCTTGCTTTTTGCTGAAATATGACTTACTAATTTATTCATCAAAAACCCTTTTAAATAGGAGTCTTATCACATCAATAGGAAGTCTAATTCTTATGAAAGTAAAGACCGAAATCCTTTTCCAAACTAATAACCATAGCTTAAAACCATAGTTTAACCTAATCAACTATGAAACATAAACCTCATTCTAGAATAATAAATAAAGTTACTTAACTTATAAATAACTAATAAATAATCTACTTAAAAATATAATTAGATACTTAAGAGTTTGCCTAAATAATACCTCATGAAGAAGTCATCTCTTATAACAAATCCAATGAACTAAATCACACTGATATGGGGAAACACTTTTATTGGACTTCTAACAGAATGCCTATCAGAAGACCAAACTATGTATCCTTGGGAATGTCCTGTATGATCTAATGACTTAACTGTTACATTATACGACGCCTTCTGATTCAACGCTGTAAATTTCAAGATTTTAGGTTGAACAGTCACCTCGACGCCATTGACCCCATATACTACAACTGTGTAAGCTGAACTTGCTTCTCCGACGTTAGTCACAGTCCTTGTATAAGTTTGAGCACTTGATTCCGTAGGAATAGAAAATGATGGATAGTTCAACTCTGATTGAGGTATGCTTGTTGTACAATGTACCTTCTTATTCACAATGAGACTGACTTGATCATCTGTATAATTCAAGCCACATAAGTATGGGATGTAATCTTCGGGCTGGATGTCATAAACGAGTCCTGGATTATTTGCTCTTGATGGATTCACATGCCCTGATCCGATTGTAAGTAGATCAGCAGGATCAAGTGTCTCGTCCTGAATTGGATCGTTTCCAAGGTCGACTATGTCAGCTGTGGTCATGATTGCGGATTTAATTGCAGCTGGAGACCAATTTGGATGTGCATTCTTTAACAATGCTGCAACTCCTGCAAGATGAGGACAAGACAGGGACGTTCCATAAAAGAGGTCAAACATCTGGCCTGCTATAGGGGTTGGCCACGCTGCAAGGATATTCACTGCAGGGCCAATAATGTCTGGCTTTAGTATGCCCTGACTCGGAATAAATGGTCCCCTAGCAGAAAAGTAAGCGACTGTTGGCGCGTGCTTGTCACCAATTCTCGTTCCCTTGAATGATATCGTTCCAATTGGTGTTGATGTTGATTTCACATAGTTTATGATCTCTTGTCCATCCTTGTAACTAACCTGTGTCGTGGGAACGACATCATATTCTGAGAATGTTGTAGAGCCACGATACTTTTCGTTCATGAGAATCATGCCAGCACCACCGGCGTTTTTCACTCTTCCTCCTTTGACATTTCTAGACAAGTCACCGCTTGTATCACACAACACTATTTTACCCTTGACAATGCTTGTATTCAATGATTCACAAGCCTTACCATTCACTAGTGGTAACAATTTTTGTGAAAAATTCGTTGGTTGAAAGGCCGATTCGCCTTCATACTCAGCTCCGTTACCCAAAACTGCTACTGCACTTATCTTTCTATCTGTTGTGCTAGCACCAACTGTGAGAATCCACGGGGCCCCGTTTATCACAGTACCACTACCCGGTCCATGATTTCCTGCAGAGCCACTTACAAAAATCCCCTTCGCCATTGCGCTATACGTGCTAATAGCTATAGAGTCATCATAAAAAGGCGGGTGTCCTAACCCCATTGGAATGACAATCACATCCACACAGTCTTCAATTGCAGCATCAAAACCAGCTAAAATCATCCATTCTGCACACCAAAGTACCCCACAGACTTTGTACATGGCCACATGGGCTCGGGGAGCAATGCCAACAGCCGTGCCATTAGCATTACCATAAAAGTTAGCACCATCCACAAAGTTCCCCGCAGCTATGCTTGAAGTCTGTGTCCCGTGGCCATTTTCATCTATAGGTAACATACCCGGTTGCACAACATTTCTTGCTCCAATAAGCTTCTTATTACAATTTGTAACATTAAACTCACATTTACCTTTCCATTTATCAGGTGGATTAGGCATTTCATTATCATTAAACAAAGGATGTTGAGGAGTAATTCCAGTATCTATTAAACCAATAATCACACCTTTACCTGAATTTGATGCATTCCACAAACCAACATTCTGGTGCAAGCCAAGGAAACTTGGACTGTGTGTGGTGTGCAACTGAAATATTCGTTGGGGACGTGCTGACAAGAAACCGGGCTTCTTTAACATTTCTCTCACTTCGTCTGATGACAACATAGCAGCAAAACCATTGAACACATGACGATAGGAATACAAAATGCGCGATGAGTGATTCGAATTTGTAGGCAAAAATGATTGATGCCAGAGAAGTACATCTTTGGAATTTGAGAAAAGTTGATCATGAAATTCAAGATGTACGACATAAGTTTCTAAATCACTTTGATTAGTGAAATGATCAGCAAATGTTTTTGATGAACGAAGCAGAACAAAGCAGAGAAAGGTAGAGATGAATTTCAGATTCATATTTTGTTTAGGTGATTATCACATTCAGCAAGATTTGCATATATATAATATGAAGTACATTTAACATAATCTTGACTTGATCATATTTAATTTGTTATGGTCAGGAATTCAGCTTCTGCAAATTTATCCATATTAACTTAATCTAACAGAAACATTAACTTGTTTATTAAGTTGACTGAAAATAAGAATAGAAAAGTCATGATTTACATCAATATGGACTAGGCCCGTTGGGCCGGCTTGGCCAACCTGTGATTTAATAGGATGGTGCTAAAAATTTTGAAGCCCATTTAAGAAAAAAGTTTTTTACCCCTGCCTGAATAAACACGCTGATTTGTGGGGCTTGAGCAATATGAGTAGGGCTGACCCGTGGGCCAAATAAAATATAATTAGAAAATAAAAATAAAATAAAATAGAATATTAAAAATTCCATAATGGCAAACTTATTTAACTAAATTGTTCTCCATAGCTATAGTTTATCTAATCACGCTCTATAGCTATAGTTTAAGATGCTATAGAAACTTGTGTTTGTATATCCCAATTTATTTATTAAAAATTTATACAAATCATCCACTTTTAATTAATGAATACATGAGCGCTAAATGCGGTAACAAAAATAATAATGAATCTCATTATTCACGCTAACATATTTTTTTGCGTAAATTGACTTCTACTACAATAATAACACCATAACAACTGGATTCGTCATATTGGAAAAGCTCCATTAAAAGAAAATAAATTATACGTTTTATTTCGTATATGTGTTTGTCTGACAATGGATTATCATAGAATGTATATGTTCCATATGTATATTTGAATTGTATATGTGCTAGATTATAATATTTGTACTTGTATATAGAAGCTTGAATTTGTATATAATATAAATTGTATATGTATATGAATATGTATATACATATAATGAACATATGATTATGTATATACACCAATCATTCACAATCATGTATATGTATAGATAATAACAAAAAATATACAAATTGCCATATACAATTAGGGGGGTTTGGTTACTGTGTAAGATACATCTTATTCTGAATAAAAAATTGCATTAGCTTTTACTATGTTTGGTAGAAGTTTTGTATTAGGTATAAAAGCCAACATAACTTATACCATGTTTGGTTGGTAAGATTTTAAATGTTGTATAAAAGGCATTCATGTACTTATACATTAATTTATATATTGTTTGGTTGTGTTTTTTATAGTCCTACATAATTAATACCAACATAACTTATGAGGAAATCTATGTATAAGTTATGTGGGATAGAAGGTGGAATAAGTTATGTTTTATACATGCACTAAAATGATAAATTACATATTTACCCTATTAATTTATTGTATTTATTTTTTAATTGAAAACTTTACTATTTTCCTAACTATGTTTGTTTTTTATTTCTTTTTATATATAGACCGTCTTCATTTCTTTTTATGTACTTACAATTTTTATTTATTTATGCAAATGTAAATATTTTCTTAATATTAGAAATTTGATTGTATACATTTGACGGCACATATGCTAATCAAATATTAGCATTATATATTATTCAATATATTCCACATATTTAATTAGCATGTATTATTATTTTGTAAATAATATATATTAATAATTTTCAACAAATTCAATATTTAATAGTTAATAATTCATGTATTGTAATCTCAACATAACTAAATAATACCTATATAACTAATATCTGCATAGCTAATACATGCATAACTAAACCCTGTATAACTAATACCTGCATAACTAAACCCTGCATAACTAATACCTGCATAACTAAACCCTACATAAGTAATACACACATAACTAAACCTGTATAATTAATACCTACATAACTCTAACCAATAACCAAACGACCCCTTAGGGTTTAAACATAAAATCTGAGATTCTTCAGATTTGTCACGATTTAATGAACCAGAAACAACTTCATTAGTTGTTCTTGACCCTCTATAAAAAAATTGAAACTAGGAAAACTAATGACAATTTTTTGTTCAAAATACAACAAAAATAAATCATATACAAACGAAAAAATAGTTGAATCATGTTTTAAGCGGCTACCTTGATTTGTGAAATCACAATTAGAAGGGAGAACGTAGATTTCGAAATTCAAATTTAAAGTATATGAGTGATTATAGGAGAGAATTAGGAAGGAGAGAGGAGAGGTAATATTACATTTGTATAAATTAGAGTACAAATCCGGTAAGGGCTTTTATTCCTTAGGTATACAAATTGGCGGTGGGTCCCCTTTCTAATAGAAAATCATCTAGTTTTATGTTAAAATCTAGACGTTAACGGATTAACGTTTGTCGTTAAGGGTGTGTTTGGTATGAAGGAAAATATTTTCTGTGGAAAATAAGTTGGTTTCTAACTTATTTTCTCACGTTTGGTTGGTGAGTGAAAAATATTTTCCCGAAAAAAATTTCTAGTGTATGATTGAATGAATGAAATATTTTTTAGAAAATCTTTTATTTTTATCTAGAGAGGACAAAATACTTATTATGAAAATAGCTTCTACCCTAAAAATCAACCCCAATAATTGATCTGGTATCTGACCCCGACACTTGATTCAGAACCTAACCCCTACTCCCGACACGAGTTCGAGAATTTGAACTGTAACCCAACCCTAACCATGACCCAAATAAGGATACGATCCCAAGACCTAACCCATGAACTAACCATGTTAGAGAGCTGACACTCAAACTCAAACATGATCCGTACACCCGAACCTGAACCCTACCCGAGACTTGAATTTGACCCGACCTCGACATCCAACCTATACTCCCGATCCCAACATCCTAAACTATTGAAACAAGTTTTAACCCCGAATATGATCCCTGTCCCCGACACCGACTCTGGCCAAACTCCGACCCTAATTTGAGACCCTAACCCTAATCTCGTGACCCAAACCCAACTTGAGTTCTGACCCCGACCCCAACACCCGACTCGAGACCCATGACCTCAACCCTAACATTAACCCAAGATCAAACCCCGACCCAAAACCCGCCCCCAATCCTAACCTGAAACCCAGCTTGACCCTGACTCTCGACTCGAGACTCAACCACAACACCTAACCCAAACCCGACCATGACCCTGACCGCAACTGAGAATGGGGACTCGACCCCGACTCGAGACTTAATACCCAACCCTAGATCTATCTTGACACATGAGACCTGACCCCGACATATGAGACCTAACCCCGACATGCGATCCCAACCCTTATCCGAGACCTAACCTAAGACCCGATCCAAACCCCAACTCCTACCCTAACACCCGACTCAAGAACTGAACCTAACACCGACTCAAACCTAACCCCGACTCCCAAAACCCAACCTTAACTCCTAAGACTTAATCCTGACATCCAACCCCAACCCCGATCCAAGACTTGACCTGAGATCCAATCACGAGGCCCGCCCGAGACCCAAACCTGACATCGACCCGACATGTTACTCGAGACCTGACCCCCGCCGGATCCCAGACCCAACCCTGATCGAGACCTGATACCCAAACCCAACCCAATACCTTACTTGAGACCCGAGCCTGACCCTAACACTCGACTCGAGACCTGACCCCGACCTCGTTCTTAACACTCGACCCAAGACTCGATCTCGACCCTAACACCATATCTTGAACCCAACTCCGACCCGAGACCCAAACTCAACCTCGACCCTGATATCTAACTCGAGACCTGACCCTGATCCCAATCCCAAACCTGACTATGATCGAGACCTGATACCCGACCCTGACCCTATACCCAACCTGAGACCCGACCCCGACCCCAACACTAAAATTGAGACTTGACCCTGACCTCTTCCTTCACACCCAACCCGAGACCCGATCCTGACCTTGACCCCGACACTCGACTTGAGACTCGACCCTAAGACCTGACCCGAGACCCGACCTGATACCCAACTTGAGTCCTGCCCCCGACAGCCGACTCGAGACTAGACCCGAGACCAACCTTGACCTAACCCCGACCCTGACTGTTGACTCGAGACTCGATCCTCACACCCAACACTCAACATTTTCCTTCATGCCAAACATACCCTACGCCTATTTTAGTTACATCCTAAAAATGTAGAGTATTTGTGTCAATTTTATCTCTTTGACTTAAATAGGTTCTGAACTCATCCTATTCCTCCATAGTTAGTTAAATCATCAAAACACCAAAATATAACACATTTGATGAGATACCTTTTTTTTTTAAAAAAAAAAACAATAGCATCATAGTGATATAGACGATGTTGGTTCTTTTATTAGTTGTTACATCTCCATTATATGTTGGCAAAAGGGTTTTGGTGGACCTTTGTACTTGTATGAGTTTTTATTGTGAATCCTTCTACTTACCTATTTGTCAATTGAGCCCCTGAACCCATCAAAACACAACATTTTAAATATGTTTTTTACTACTCCACTATGTGTGTATCACAAACATGACACATTATTTTAAAAATAATTATAAAATGACACCTATATATATAGTCTCTTTCCAATTTTTATTCTCTTTGCCATAACTGTATCCATCCCCACAATCTCACTTCATTCCTTTTTCTCATCTTCCTTACCCTTTTCCTTTTTCCAACCTCTTCTATTCTTTCCATTGAAGTAAAAATGTTGGCATGATTTCGGGTTGTTCACAATTTCGTCGGAGTTCGGAGTTGATTTTGGGTTTAGTTGCATACTTGGATTGGAGTTTTGGTGGTGACTGGTGGCGCTAAGAAAGAGTGGGTGTCTGTTGGGTGGTCTGATTGTTTCTAGTTGTTCACAATTTCACTGGATCTCGGGGCTGGTGGTGTTGTGAAGGTCGAGGGCTCGAGGCTTATTGGTGGAGTTGGTTTGGGGTTTTTGTTGTTGTTGTTGGTGGTGGCTCTCGCTTATAGCTGCTGGTTGAAGCTTGCCAAAGACGGTGAGAATGAAGGTGGTTTGGTCGGAGGAGGTGAGGAGGACGAGAAGAAGGCAGTAAGTTTGAGTTTGGTTTGGAACTGAAACATTGAGTCATTTGGGTGGTGGATGACTTAAACAAGGGTCAATGTCGAAAATTATTTGAGTTTGTTGTCGTTGTTTTTGTTTGATTTTCGACTTATCTAGATAGGTTTTTCAATTTATTTTCGAATTTATTTGTTGTTTAGTCTGGATTTGATCTTCTATTTGCACCTTTGTTTTGTTTTGGGGTTTTAGTCGATTACAATGATTTTGTTGAATAATTTTGGGGATTTTGCTTTGTTTTGTGCCTAATGTTAGTGTAAGATGTTTTGGTAGTAGTGTTATGCCTTCCATGACGTGTTTCATAATAAAGAGAGCAGTCTAATGACATGAAACAACTCAGAAGAAATTTGGGGGGAAAGATTGAAAAAGAGGCCAAGAACACCTCAAATTTTGTCCAACAATGGTGTTAGATGCAAATAGGAAGAGAACTATAATCAGGTAATTTTCCAAGTAATTTTTGGAATGGGGATTTATTATCTAAGTGGGAGGTGGGCAGACGATTGATGAGGTAGACAGTGTGGTGACATGCGAAGGACCAAAATTGGGTTGGAAGGGACGCCGCATGAAAGAGTGTTCTTGCAGTTTCAGTGATATGGCGATGTCGTCGTTCTGCAAGTGCAACTCGTTGAGGCGTATAAGGTGGGGTGGAAAGGTGTTCAATGTCTTGAAGTGAAAGATAGGAGTCAAGACTTTTATACTCTCTTCCGCCATCAGTGTAAAGTGATAAAATTTTGGTGTCAAAATGTTTTTCCATCGGAGGATGGAATTTTTGAAAGATCTCTTTAACTTCACTTTTTTTTGTTAATGTATAGAGCCAAGTATATTTAGTATATTGGTCAACAAAAATACAATAACATAGCTTCTTATCAAGAGATAAAATCGGTGATGGCCCCCATAAATCACTAAAAATAATTTGAAGAGGTTTAGAGCTACGCAGTGATAGTTGGGAAAAAGGATGCCGATGGGCTTTATTAGATAAACAAGAATTACAATGAAAAGGTTTGTCTCGCTCATGAAACGGTAACAAGAACTTATTTAAAATAAACTAAGAACTCTAGAGTGAGGATGACCAAGACGTTGATGCCAAGTAGTGAGAGGAATGGATATAGTGGTCATGTGAGCTTGGGGAGGTGGGACAGGCCACTCATACAGTCCATTTTTGGTCCGACCGTGCACCAGTGGTTTCCGCATTTTCAAATCCTTCACAACAAAGTCAAAAGGAAAAAATTCAATCGACTTTAGATTGTCTTGACAAAATTTAGAAACAGAGAGAAGCTTACGTTAAATGGAAGGAGCACAAAGAGTGTGGGTTAGTTTAAAAATATTATTTGATGCATTTAATTGAGTAGAACCAGTGTGAGAAATAGGAATTTTATTACCATCACCCATGGAGACATCCTCGTTACCGTGGTACGGTTGTAGGTTGTGTGGCTCTGTGGTGATGTGATGGGTGGCTCCTGAGTAACCATCCAGGGGTTGGTGGCAGCAGTAAACCCAGCAGCATAGTTGGCTTTGGCTTCAAAGTGATTGTGAGACTTCGAGCGGCAAACATTGGCGGTATGGCCTATCCTGTTACATAGTTGACAACGAGTAACGCCGTTTGGATTTGAGTTAGACTGCCATTGTGGTGGAGTATTTGGCTACGAGCTCTGACGCCATTGTTGAGAATTGGTTGTCTGCCTGCGATTATTGGTGTTGTTTTTGGTGGGAGTGGCGACTGCAGCAGTGATAGGACTAGACAGCTTCTTAGCATCCTCGTGGCGAAGGAAGAGTTCATAGTCTAGTAGTTTTTCAAACAATTCCTCATAGGAGATAGACGTATCACGTGCACGAATGGCAACAGATATCTCTCGAAACTCAGGCCCCAGACCACTTAGTATTTTGACTATGAGTTCAGGATTGGACACAGGAGCACCAACAGTGGCTAACTCATCCGAAAGGGACCGAATATTGTGAAGATATTCAGTGATGGAGCGAGAGTCCTTAGTGACACGAGAAAGCTGATCACGCAAACTGAACACCCGAGTTTGAGACTTGTTCGCGTAAGTGGTATGCAAAGCATCCCAAGCTGATTTAGCCGAGTCAGCGATAGCAACAGTAGAAGCAATGGTGGGTTCGACAGAAGCCATAAGGGCATTCTGGATGAGTTTGTCTTGGCGGAACCAAGGTAAGAAGGCAGGATTAGGAGCTATGTTCGTACCGAGGGCAATCGTGCGATTGGGGGCCGGAGTGGTCCCATCGAGATGGCCAAAGAGGTTGTAGCCATACATAAGCATGGAAAATTGGGTTTCCAGGTGGCGAAGTTGTGACCACCGCTTTGTTTAATGGGTAGTTGGGAAGCAGGATTGAACTGAATGATTATGTTACTACCCATTGTGTTATCAGCATTGACAACTGTTGGATTATTGCCATTGTTGTTCCCATTGGGATTGGTCATTATTGCTGATCTGTGTGAGGAGAAGGAAGGAAAAAAAATTGGATCGTTCTCGTTAGAGCGTGAAGAGCCCTGATACCATATAAAGACTGGGTATAAGTTAAAAGACGATAGTTTATTAATGAAGACAGAAAGTTGCTTAAATAGAATTACAGCGAAAAGACTCCTAAACGAACTGAAGTAATAAAACCTAACTAGACAATAACTGCTGAAACTTAATCCTAAATAAACAGGGATAGGGACTGCTCATACTTAATACGACTAAATAACTAAGTTGACTCGTGATGTTCCAATAATAAGAACAAATAGGACTTTGCCTAAATAATACTCCATGAAGAAGTCATCTCTTACTAAAAAAATCCAATCAATTAAATCACACCGATTTGGGGAAATACTTTTATTGGACTTCTAACAGAATGCCTATCAGAAGACCAAATTATGTATCCTTGGGAATGTCCTGTAAGATCTAATGACTGAACTGTTACATTATACGATGCCTTCTGATTCAATTCTGTAAATTTCAAGATTTTAGGTTGAACAGTCACCTCGACGCCTTTGAGCCCAAATACTTTAACTGTGTAAGCTGAAATTGTTTCTCCAATGTTAGTCACAGTCCTCGTATATGTTTGAGCACTTGATTCCTTAGGAATTGAAAATGATGGGTAGTTCAACTCTGATTGAGGTATACTTGACGTACAATGTACCTTCTTTCTTACAATGGCACTGACTTGATCATCTGTATAGTTCAAGCCACATAAGTATGGGATGTAATCTTCAGGCTGGATGTCATAAATGAGTCCTGGATCATTTGCTCTTGATGGATTCACGTGCCCTGATCCGATTGTAAGTAGATCAGCAGGTTCAAGTGTCTCGTCCTGAATTGGATCGTTTCCAAGGTTGATGATATCAGCTGTGGTCATGATTGCGGATTTAATTGCAGCTGGAGACCAATCTGGATGTGCGCTCTTTAACAATGCTGCAACTCCTGCAAGGAGAGGGCAAGACATCGACGTTCCAGAAAGGATGTTAAATGTCAATGATGTTGTCTCACCTCCTATAGAGATTGGCCATGCTGCAAGGATATTCACTCCAGGGCCAATAATGTCCGGCTTTAGTATGCCCTGACTCTGCATACATGGTCCCCTAGAAGAAAAGTAAGCAACCGTTGGGGCGTGCTTGTATCCAATCTTCGTTCCCTTGAATGTTATCGTTGCAACTGGTGTTGATGTTGATTTCATATAGTTTGTAATCTCTTGTCCATCGTTGTAACTAATCTGTGTCGTGGGAACGGCATCATATTCTGAGAATGTTGTAGAGCCAGCATACTTTTCATTCATGAGAATCATGCCAGCACCACCGGCTTTTTTCACTATTCTTGCTATGTCTTTTCTAGACAAGTCACTGCTTGAATCACACAACACTATTTTACCCTTGACATCGCTTGTATTGAACAATTCACAATTCGTACCATTCACAAGTGGTAACAATTTTTGCGAAAAATTCGTTGGTTGGAAAGCTGATTCGCCTTCATACTCAGCTCCGTTACCCAAAACTGCAACCGCACTTATCTTTCTATCTGTTGTGCTAGCACCAACTGTGAGAATCCACGGGGCCCCGTTTTCTACAGTACCACTACGCGGTCCACCATTTCCTGCAGAGCAACTTACAAAAATCCCCTTCTCCATCGCGCTATATGTGCCAATAGCTATATTATCATCGTATAAAGGAGACCGTAAGTGTCCGAATCCAATTGAAATGGAAATCACATCCACACCGTCTTCAATTGCAGAATCAAGACCAGCTAAAATCTTGTATTCTAGACAATAAAATGCATCACAGACTTTGTAAATGGCCAAATGGGCTCGGGGCGCAATGCCAACAGCCGTGCCATTAGCATTACCATAAAAATTGGCACCATCCACAAAGTTTCCCGCGGCTGTGCTTGAAGTATGTGTCCCGTGTCCATAATCATCTGTAGGGGACAGATCCGGTTGCACAAAATTTCTTGCTCCAATAAGCTTCTTGTTACAATTAGTTGTAACATTGAACTCACATTTGCCTTTCCATTTAAGTGGTGGATTAGGCATTCCATTATCATTAAATGAAGGATGATGAGGATCAATTCCACAATCTAATATACCAATAATCACACCTTTACCTGAATTTGATGCATTCCACAAACCAACATTCTGGTGCAAGCCAAGGAAACTTGGTGTGTGTGTGGTGTGCATCTGAAATATTCGTTGGGGACGCGCTGACACAAAACCTGGCTTCTTTTCCATTTCTCTCACTTCGTCTGATGACAACATAGCAGCAAAACCATTGAACACATGACGATAAGAATATAGAATGCGCGATGAGTGATTCGAATTTGTAGGCAAAAATGATTGATGCCAGAGAAATACATCTTTGGAATTTGAGAAAAGTCGATCATGAAATTCAAGATGTACTATATAAGTTTCTAAATCACTTTGATTAGTGAAATGATCACCAAATGTTTTTGATGAATGAAGCAGGACAAAGCAGAGAAAGGTAGAGATGAATTTCAGATCCATATTTTGTTTAGGTGATTATTACATTTAGCAAGATGTGCATATATATAGTACTAAGTTCATTTAACATAATCTTGACTAGATCATATTTAATTTATTATGGTCAGAAATTCAGCTTTCTGCAAAATTATCCATATTAACTTATTCTAACTGTAACATTAACTGGAATAGAGAAAATAATTATGATGATGGTTATTAAGTTGACTGAAAATAAGAAAAGTATAGTCAGGATTTACAGAGAGCTGCCATCAATATGAGGGGCCTAGCTAATTTGAGCCTCATTAAATATTAGCGAGGAGACTCTCGTCAAGTACTGAATGAATCACTTGCTCATCCAACGGTTTTTGCTATGACAACATTCAGAAAAAAAATATAATATATCGATACCTCTCTTGATTTATTAAATGCTAAGGATAATATGAGAAAGAAGTAATAAAACTATCTTGATTTGCAAAAATAGGCATCCAGGCCTGAGCTATCAAATACTCAATGTATAGAGTTTTTTCTTTATATAGTTAAGTTGACTTACAATAAGAAATAACTCTTTGTAAAAAATTTAATAAGGTATAATTTAAGAAAAAGAGTAATGATTTGTTAAACCTAACTTATACTTATTGCAAGAGACAGCAAAGATGATCTTATGATATTTTTTCAAAGTAATATGAGCTCTGTCTCGAGAGTTATGAAAGCACTTGCTCAAACATATTCTTATCTAGAGTGGAAGAAAGTGTAACATCCGACAATTTGAAATAGCTTGGAAGAGGCTTAGAATCGGAAATAGTCATTTTTGGAAAGAATTTGAAAATCTGGAAAAAAATTTGGCCAAGTGTGGAAAAAAATGAATTTTTGGCCAAATTTGAGCAGTCATAACTTCCAGCTCAGGATGATTTAGGAGTAGTTACAGTTATGGTTGTGAAGCTTGTGGAATGATCTTTCCAACGCCACCGAGTTTGCTCGATTCCGAGTTTGTATGAGCGAGTTATGCCTTTTAGAAGTTGGGCAGTTGGCAGGGAAATCTGTCCGGGAAATTAAGGGCATTTTAGTCTTTTCCCTAGCCAAGTCTTTTGGGATTATATTGTTGTATAGGGCTGATCTTTGGATCATTTTGTCCCATTTTTTAAAGAGTAAAAGCTAGGGCTTGAGAAGAAAAAGAGAAGAAGAAGAGAAGAAGGAGAAGAAGAAGAGGAGAAAGAGGAGATCAACAAGTTTCCGTCAAAGATCAACATGGATTGTCGTCGGGGGTGATCCCTTTCAAGGTATGTGAGTTCTTTGTGTGGGTTATCCTTTCCCCCACACACCAAGCTCCTTTTTTATTCGAGGAAGGATTGGAATTGTTGTTGAAGTTGTTAGTTGTTGTTGATGTTATTAGTTGTGTTGTTGAAGTTATTGTTGGTTGTGGGACATGATTGGGTTGTGTTTTGAGTTGTAATCCATGGTATGTTGAGGGATATGATGATCCTTAATGTTTGGGGTTGATGCCCTTGAAGTAAGAGTGGTTTAGAGTTGGCAAATCAAGGGAGAAAAGTCGAATTTCTGGGCAAGGGGGTTGGCGCGTCGCGCCTGCCAGCGCGCCCCAAAAGGGATTCTGAAGTTTCCCCCTTGGGGCGGCGCGCCACTCAGAGCGCCAGCAGGCCATCTCTGAAGTTTTTGGCTTGGCGCTCCGCACCTCTCAGAGCGCCAAGAGCGCCAAGTTTTCCCATTCTTTCCCTACTTTCTCATGCATGTTCGTAAGTGTTATACTTATGTTCCCTAGTAGTTTCCAACACCCCAAAATGTTTCTAAACATCCCGAACTCATCTATAAACATGCGATTATATGTCTTGAATCCATAGTTCAATTCAAGGCAAGTTAGTATCAAGTTAAAGAGAAGTTAGAGTCAAGTCAAGCCATGTTAAGAAGTAAGTTCAACAAGTCCTCCAAGCTTTCCAAGAGTCTTCATTGAACGTTTTAACTTCATTTTTAGACTCAAGTTTCAAGTCAAGCAAAAAGCTTAGAGTTTCAAGCTAAGTAAAGAGTCTCAAGACTCAAGTTAAGTCGAGAGTGTAAGTTGAGTTCATTTCTCAAAAGCTATTAGGGAACTATGTATTCCCAAAGAAGTTTCTAAATGTTTTTACATTTGAGTAAGAAAGGAACTATGATTCCAAAAGAGCCTTAGGGCTAGTTTTCAAGAAAAAGGAACATCGTTTCCAAGTGAGCCTTTGGGCTAGATTTTGAGTAATTATCTCATTTAAAGAAAGATGTGTTTAAAACACTTATGAACTAAAAGCATTTTGGGAGTAGTATCGAGCACCGATTTGGGGACGCGAGTTCATATTAAACTCAACTCTCCATAAGAACCATGTAGCCAACATAGGAGTTAACGGGTCATACTTTTTAGATGAACCCGTAAAGTTAAGCTAGTGGATCCACTTAGTAAAGTTAGCTTTCTATATCAAGACCAGGTATAGGATGGTTCTCAGGCAATGTGAGGTAAAACATTGTATCATTAGCTTCCTATATCACGGCAAGGTATAGGATGGTCCTCGGGCAACGTGAGGTAAAACGTTGTATCACCACTCATATTCATAGTGGTGGTTTGTCGGTTAGAGAAGCTCCCACAGTAGAAAGAGCATGGTTCCTCAAGAGTTCTGCTTAGTATGGATGGGGGTATGGGACTTCATTCATACATTGCACGAGTAGACCTTGAGAGGAAGCATGGTATTTTCATGATATTATAAATATGATTTTTACGTCATGTTTTAAGAGTTTTACAAGCTTTATATATTGCATGTGTCTTATTGCTTTATATATTGAGTTCAGCTATTCGTGAGTTGAACAGAGCCAAGGTAAGTGTTCTCTTGTACTCTTTTCAAGCTTAAGTTGTGGTTTAGTTTTCCAGCTCGCATACTCGTACATTTAATGTACTGATGCCAGTTGGCCTGCATCTTATGACGATGCAGATACAGGTACCCCAGATCAGCATCCTGCACATCGTTGATCCAGCCGAGCACTTCAGTGTCAGTGGTGAGCCTCCTTGCTTTCCGGAGGACTCAATTATTTTGTGTACTTAGTTTTGTTCTATTAGGATGTTGCGGGGTCTGTCCCAACATCCATCTCAGTATTTTAGAGGCTTCATAGACAGTCAGTTAGTTAGTATTGAGTCTCTCATCTATGTATATATGTAAATATTCTATTTTGAGACTCGAGCTGCCTTTTGGCATGTTATGCATCAGTTGGTTGTTTTATAACCTTTCATTGCATTGAGTTGTTCTGTTGAGTTAAGTTTCCGTTGAGTTAAGAAAGCCAGGCCAAGGGTTCGCCTGAGGCCAGCAATGGTCTCCGGGTGCCGGTCCCGCCCAGGGTGTAGGCTCGGGGCGTGATTGAAAGTGTCAAACAAAACATCTTAACTAAAACGGGATTCTCACTTGGCTCACTACCAATTAAGTATTTGGGGCTGCCACTTACTTCAAGATAATGTAATAAAATGGATTGCCAGCAAATGGTAGATAAAATTACTAGCAGAATTGGAGTGGCCTACTCAAAATGCCTATCCTATGCTGGGAGATTACAGAATATAATGGCTGTACTCTGAGGCAGTGTTCATATTGCCCCAGAGTGTATGTACTAAAAGAGATTGACAAAAAATGCAGAGAGTTCTTATGAGGAGCTACTGATGGTAAAAGGAAACTAGCGTTTGTAAAGTGGACCAAAGTATGTATCCAAAAGAAATATGGTGGTCTTAATATCAAGGGGTGCTGCAACTGGAATATAGCTTCAGTGGGGAAATAATTATGGCAATTAGCAAGAAAGGACATCCTGTGGGTTAAATGGTGTATAATATATGAAGTCGAATGGAAACATTTGGGATCATAGTCCACCAACAGATTGCAGCTGCTACCAAAAGAAGTTAAACTCTTTGAAAGCTCAGATGACATGTTGGTATCAAGGAGAAAGCTACACACTTACTCCAACAAGGGACTATTCTGTTTCTCAGAGTTAATGATAAAAGTATGAGTAATGAATTTGGGGAGCTAAGCACCAGCCATAAAAGCCATGGTAGCTTTGTAGAGATCTGTGGATCACTCATAATTTTGCTAAGAGTGAGCCTCTTTCTTATGTTTCTTTTGACTGGTTCCTGTACTTCTATTGGACTTCTTTTCTCAAGAATTTTCCGTTCTCATCTTGTGTTTCACCAGGTAAGATCACATTGTTTTGGTATACTAATTTTTCTTGTGAATTTCCTTCTATTTTTAGCCTTGCCCTTTGCCGCCTTGGTGTCTAAGCTTACCATGTTCCTTATATTACCTTGATTTGTGCTTCTGCCTTTTGGAGGTTTGAAGTGGTGGAGTTTCTAGCCCTTCTTTTCGAATGGTGTTGTCACTAGCTTCTCCTAATTCACATTGTTTTATTAGGAAAATATATTTTGGACCGGTTTTAAGAGTCGCCACTTAATTTTTAAAGGGAAATTAAGAAAACTATTCATTTCCACAAGACTAAAACAGGAATCTAGTGAAAATCTATAAAGGGGTTCGAGGTTCTTATTAACATTCTAGGAAGGTTTTAAAAGCACCTAGAATATCCACTAATGTGGTTATCCGACAATTAAATTTTGGCTAAAAATATTTTAACTTAATTTGAATAGAACGATTGAACTATTTTATAGTTGAGACGGTCAAAAAAGGGAAAAAGGGAAATATTGACCTATGATTTAAGCGAGATACTTCTAAAAATTTATTCTTTTAAGTCTTTGGAAAGATGATCGATTTAGCTAAATTGTTAAAACGAAATAAGCGTCTTTCGGGGATTTGAACTTTTCAATCCTAAGATTAACGACAAATACTAACAAGCAAAACAAACACAGTAAAGTAAAGAGGGAAAGAGGGTTGGACCCAAATTTGGTTTCTGTCCGCCTGGACCAGTATTTGGACCCATTTTCGTTTTGGGCCTTCGGCCCATTTAAGTCATTTGTACATGTCCTATTCTAGCATAATAGAAGTATTTTCTATATTTTGGACCTTAGTCCCAATTCTTCCACCTGTCCTAAACTAATACAACAATAACAATTTAAATGACAAGGGCTTAGGCTCAAAATAACAAAATACAACTATTATGAATTAAGAGTGGGCCTTTGGCCCAATCTTTTCAAATTTCTCAATCGGTTGCTCCTTTCAACCTCGGGACCTGTTCGTCAATTTTTAATGGCCGATTCTTCAAATTTTCTTATCGGCTGACTCGATAGGAGGAATTTGAGCCTTTATGGCTTTCTCGAAAATGCAAGGGAGAGGATAGGAGTTTGGGTGAACTCGGGCCAATTTCACATGCAACGAAAGAGGAAAGAAAATTAGAATAACTGTAACTGATAATTAAATGAAACGCTAATGAACTATGAATGATAACTAATATCTAACAATACGGGACAAAATAATATTACTGGACAGAATAAGCAAAATGGTCAACACCAAAAATTATATAGACTACAAAACATGTATCTCAGAGATAGAAAAGTACACTGATCCTAAACAAGTTGCAGCTAAGGCAAGCCAAACAAAGGCAGTGCAGAACTACTCTTGGGTAATTTTAAAACGTCAATAGAGACAACCAATAAGAATGCAACGCATCTCAGGCAATACAACAAAATTAACGATGCTCGAAACTACGGGAAAAACTAATGAAATTGCAGGTCTAAGAATAACATGCCCATTTACTGTTCAAACCGAAATAAAACCACACTAAGCCAAGCATGAACTTTAAGCTAAAACTACCTCATTATTGCCATTAACAGTAAACCAAACACTTAGGATTACAAGCAAATGCTAGCAGCCCAACTCAACAATAACGATCAAATGCAATATCCATTAATAATGCAAAAATTCTTAACGTTAGCGAAGTGATGACACTAGCATCATAGATAACACTAGAGACTTCATTAGGACAAAATAAACCCTTAACATGATAGCTAACTCAAAAGAGGAATTCTAAGACTCATCCGAGCAACAACAAAAGCCGAGAAAGGGAGAAGAAAGACAAATTAACAAACAACCACCACTGTCATCGCAATAGTGCATCGACTAAAGAGTTGGAAATAAAAATAAAATGGAGTTTACCTTCTTGTGTGCAGCGAGCTGAAACAAACGGGCAGGGGCAACGACCTTCACCGCAAGAACTCAGACACAAATGACCAAATAAAAATCCGGGCAGAAACTTAAACACAGAACCGAAAACTATTATCTCTTTTGCTTATGAAACGTATTTAGAGTGTATTAAAGTATTTTGCTCAAAGCTCTCCTTTGTGTTTGCTCTGAAAATTTTTCCAACTCTCCCAAAAAAAAAAATCCACTTTCAAAGTGAATAAGCAACTATATATATAGAAGGGAATCACTAGGGTTTCGAGTTTGGGAGGGAAGAGGCTGAAAAACCTCTTCAGCAACAAGGAACAATTTAAAATTTAAATTCCCCAAAATCCTTTCACCATTTAGGACAAACAACCTTTTTCTTGCAATTCACCCAATTCCGAAAGAGGAAAGGGCGAATCGACGGTTGATTTACATTCCTCGTCCTTGCTATGCTACGTGGCTCGATCTCGAGCCAAGAGGACGGAAACGCGTGCTTCACTACTCTGTTGCAGGTACAGATTGGAAAGGGACGGGAGGAAGACGACACAGCGATTGGGCCTCGCGATTCTGGGCTGTGTCGCTACTGGACTGCACTGTTTTTGATCGATTCTGGCCGGGTTTTGCAGCTGCTCGTTTGCGTCTGGGCTTGCTGAACCTGCTGGAGAAGAAGAACAGTGTAGGGGTCGGTTTTGGTATTGTGTTGTTGTTTATTTTGGTATTATATTGTTGGATATGGGCTGTTGTATGTATGCTGGTTGTTTTTTGCTGGAATGGGTCGGTTGTGGGCTGCTGTACGTGTATATTTGCTGGACATGGAATGTTGGGCCATGATTTTGATCAAATTTGAGAAAAGGACCAAAATTTGGTCCTTTAAAAATTGATTAAGCTAGAATTGAATTTAAACTTTGGCGATATGAATCTAAATTTAAGCCAAATGTAGTCAAACTTAGTTAATTAGGATAAGTTCGACTAGTAATTAAGCAAGATGAATTAATATAGATTAATCAATAAGCTTCTTAATTTCAACAAAATAAAATAATTGACTTAATTATAAATCAAATAATTTAAAATATAAAATATTATGTAACTAAACTAATTAACCAAATATTTGATTTAAACAAAAATCTTTTTGCGACTATTTTTGAACATTCATAAAATATACTAATTCGACACATCATTATATAATAATTAACTGAATTATAAACTAATTAACTCAAAATATAAGCTATTAATTAATTTAAACTAAATAACCAAATATTTAAATGAAACTAAAATCCTTTAGAGACAATTTTCGAATATTCATAAAATATACTAATTAGACACATAATTATATAAAATATCATATTTATTATTTAAAATTATAAAAATGACAAAACTACTTAAAATGACTTGAAAATTATTTGAATTTTATAAAACTAATTATTCTAAATCGTTTGGGAATTAAGAAGCTCGTGAATTAATTATTATCGGGGAGGGTCAAAATTGGGTGTCAACACACATCTCCTTTCCTCTTGGGTTCCAATATTAATCAGAGGATTTCGTGTCCAACAACTGCTTGTGGAGTGGCCCTGCACATTGCAATGGGAGCAAAACACGGTATAGTCTCATATTCAATCTTTTGGATATTTTTTTCCAGTTGACCTTGGTTGTTTCTGATTTCCACATAAACCTCATACAAGAGGGGCCTTGCCAGGTCTATCTCCACTCTCAACTTCGCCGTAGTCGGTCTGGTTTTTAAGGCAGTAGCCTTATCCATGAATAATGGAGTGCCAATAGGTTGTACTATTCGACATAGTGCATCCCACTCATAGTAGTGTCATGGCAGATTTGGTAAGTTAATTTAAACTGGAGCAAGAGTGGTTTCCGCATTGGGTTGGGCGGAAGATCTGGGGGACCAAAGCTGTCAACAGATAAACTCATAATGCAAGGCGTTGCACTAGCCGTTAGCGGTGAAGACTTGAAGAAGTGTAATGAGATAATTTTTTTAATATAAGAAGAGACACATTGCATCTTTTTGCAGAGTGTGGCTGGGTATGGAAAGTCAGATACGTAGTTGATTTGGGATAACAATACAGTACACAGGAGTCTGTAACACACTCCAATGGATCAAGAGAAGAAGATGGAAACAGTTCCAAAAGGAGATAGTTGTCATAGTAGCATCAGTCCGAGGACAATGATATACTACACATGGAAGTGAAGGAATAGAAAAAAAATTCAACAAACAAGCGTACAGCCTGAGTTCGTCATCACACAAATACAGAGGGAAATATGTCAATGAATTTACATGTTGAAATACACAAATGGAGCAAATAGATGTCAGAGTTTGATTTCAAAAATATGTAACTAGATGGTTGTTTTCCTAAGATCTAGTGATTCGAGGTACCCTTCCTAGAAGGTGGCTGAAAACACGGGGCTCTTTAGGTTGTAAATATTTGCATTGGTATGGTAATATTTCACATTATTACCAAAAAAAAAAGATTTGGAGACCTAAAGTCAAAATTTATTCAAACTCATTCAACTTCTTTTATACACCATCTGGTTGGGATCATCTCCGGTGATTTTTGCTCCCGTACTCATCAGTGTTGTCATGAAACTGTGTAATTGATTTTTAGAAATGTAAGGGCCTCAGGGATCTTACACAATGTCAATTTGAATTAGTCGGTGTCTTCATGCGAGTATTAGGAATCAGATAGAGAATATTTGTTTTAAAAAAAACAATGATGATGGTATTGATAATGATGGTTCTTTCATTACTTGTTACTTATCCATTATACCTTTTTCATTTTTAATGACAATTTTTTTCACATAACAAACCTCTTTACATAGGAGTTTGTCTAAATAATACTCCATGAAGAAGTCATCTCTTATAACAAATCCAATCAATTAAATCACACTGATATGAGGAAATACATCTATTGGACTTCTAACAGAATACCTATCAAAAGACCAAACTATGTATCCTTGAGAATGCCCTGTAAGATCTAATGACTTAACTGTTACATTAAACGACACCTTCTGATTCAATGCAGTAAATTTCAAGATTATAGGATTAACAGTCACCTCGACACCTTTGAGCCCAAATACTTTAACTTTGTAAGCTGAAATTGCTTCTCCAACGTTAGTCACAGTCCTTGTATAAGTTTGAGCACTTGATTTCTTAGGAATAGAAAATGACGGATAGTTCAACTCTGATTGAGGTATTCTTGATTTACAATGTATCTTCTTATTCACAATGGAACTGACTTGATCATCTGTATAGTTCAAGCCACATAAGTATGGGATGTAATCTTCGGGCTGGATGTCATAAATGAGTCCTGGATCATTTGCTCTTGATGGATTTACGTGCCCTGATCCGATTGTAAGTAGATCAGCAGGTTCAAGTGTCTCGTCCTGAATTAGATTTTTTCCAAGGTTAACAAGGTCAGCTGTGGTCATGATTGCAGATTTAATTGCAGCTGGAGACCAATCTGGATGTGCACTCTTTAACAATGCTGCAACTCCTGCAAGGTGAGGGCAAGACATCGACGTTCCAGAAAGGATGTTAAACGTCGATGATGAAGATGAAGATGCAGATATTGTCTCACCCTCTATAGGGGTTGGCCAAGCTGCAAGGATATTCACTCCAGGGCCAATAATATCCGGCTTTAGTATGCCCTGACTCTTCACAAATGGTCCCCTAGAAGAAAAGTAAGCAACCGTTGGCGCATGCTTGTCTCCAATCTTCGTTCCCTTGAATGTTATCATTGCAACTGGTGTTGATGTTGATTTCATGTAGTGTATGATCTTTTGTCCATCCTTGTAGCTAACCTGTGTCGTGGGAACGGCATCATATTCTGAGAATGTTGTAGAGCCGCGATACTTTTCGTTCATGAGAATCATGCCAGCACCATCGACTTTTTTCACATTTCCTCCTTTTTCATTTCTAGACGTGTAACCACTTGTATCACACAACACTATTTTACCCTTGAGACTTGAAAACAACGATTCACAATCCTCACCATTCACAAGTGGTAACAATTTTCGCGAAAAATTTGTTGGTTGAAAGGCTGATTCGCCTTCATACTCAGCTCCGTTACCCAAAACTGCAACCGCACTTATCTTTCTATCTGTTGTGCTAGCACCAACTGTGAGAATCCACGGGGCCCCGTTTGCCACAGTACCACTACCCGGTCCACTATTTCCTGCAGAGCAACTTACAAAAATCCCCTTCTCCATTGCTCTATACGCACCAATAGCTATAGTATCATCATATAAAGGTGGCCGATAGTGTTCGAATCCAATTGAAACGGAAATCACATCCACATCATCTCCAATTGCAGCATCAAAACCAGCTATCATCCTGTATTCTTCACAAGTATATCCATAACAGACTTTGTACATGGCCACATGGGCTCGGGGTGCAATCCCAACAGCCGTGCCATTAGCATTACCAAAAATACTGGCACCATCCACAAAGTTCCCCGCAGCTGTGCTTGAAGTATGTGTCCCGTGTCCAGCTTCGTCCGAAGGGGACGTAGCCCCATCCGCAAAATTTCTTGCTCCAATAAGCTTCTTGTTACAATAAGTTGTAACATTGAACTCACATTTGCCTTTCCATTTAAGTGGTGGATTAAGCATTCCATTATCATTAAATGAAGGATGTTGAGGATCAATTCCAGAATCTAATAAACCAATAATCACACCTTTACCTGAATTTGATGCATTCCACAAACCAACATTCTGGTGCAAGCCAAGGAAACTTGGACTGTGTGTGGTGTGCATCTGAAATATTCGTTGGGGACGTGCTGTCACAAAACCGGGCTTCTTTTCCATTTCTTTCACTTCATCTGATGACAATATAGCAGCAAAACCATTGAACACATGATGATAAGAATATAGAATGCGCGATGAGTGATTCGAATTTGTAGGCAAAAATGATTGATGCCAGAGATGTAAATCTTTTGAACTAGAGAGAACTTGATCATGAAATTCAAGATGTATTATATAGGTTTCTAAATCACTTTGATTAGTGAAATTATCACCTAATGTTTTTGATGAATGAAGCAGGGCAAAGCAGAGAAAAGTAGAAATGAATTTTAGATCCATGTTTTTTAAGATGACTATCACATTAGCAAGATGAGCATATATAATGCAGTTCAATTAGCACATAATTTATAATAGATGTATATAATCTTGATTAGATCGTATATAATTTATTAAGGTCAGTAATTCAACTTTCTGCCAAATTATCCATATTAACTTATTCAAACTAAAACAAAGACTTGATTTGAAAAAATTAATTATTCTGATGGTAATCCATAATTATTAAGTTGACTGAAAATAAGAATAATCTAATCAGTATTACTAGGAAGGAAAATGTTATGAACCAGCCTCGGCCCAATGTCAATACCTATACGGACATCACACAACTAGTTATTGGGCTGAGAAGAAGCAACAAAACTGGAAGGCCTTTGCAAAGGCTGATTTAGGACTCAGGCCCAATTAACAACTAGCTAAAAGGATGACGGATGAGAAAAAGAGGTTTATGCATATTGTTGAGAGAAATGTCTAGTCCTCTCATCTCGTTTCTTTGAGTCTATGCTTCTCATCTCCCTTCTAGTTATCTTCTACAATAGTATTCTTTGTTAGCTCCATTTTCTTGTTGTAACTTCGAGTTTAGTGATTATAATATTTGAATGCTTGTTTCTATTGTGAAATTGGAGTTGTTACGGAAAATCCTATGAATTCTTTGAAAGTCAGTAATAGTTTAGCATTTTGTTTGCTTGAACTTACAGTTCCTTAATGTTCTTTATGGATATCTTAATTGTTGGGTGTGCGAACAAAATTTCACATTAATAGCTGAACAGATTGGGAGCCTACATATAAGGTGTTGAAACATTTAATGTTGTGAGACCTTTTGATAATATCACACCTTGTTAGTTGTTAAGAGTATTTTTTTTTTGTTAAGGATGAGTGTGGGAATATAGCCTTTGTGGTAAACAAGCTAGCACAATTTTCCCATTGTCCAACTGAAAATCATTGGTCTGCAGTCAAATGTGTGGTTCGCTACTTAGTTGGAACGGTGAACTATGGTCTCTTCTTGCATCGTAAGTCTCCACTTGATCTTCATGCCTTCTCAGATGCGAAATAAGGATGATTGCGCTTCCACCAGTGCATTTCTTATCTATCTTGGTAAAAATCTGGTCTCCTGGAGCTCAAAGAAACAAAGGAGTGTAGCTAGATCATCAACTGAAGTGGAATACCGTCTGGTTGCCTATGCTATTGCTGAAATTCAATGGATTCAGAACTTACTTCGTGAGATTGCTGTATCTTTGCCAAGGCAGCCAATTGTCTACTGTGATAATTTATGTGCCACATATCTCGCTGCTAATCCAGTCTTTCATTCGCGGATGAAGCATCTCGAGGTTGATTATCATTTTGTTTGCACAATGGTTCAAAATGGACAGATTCAAGTTTCTCATATTTCTGGAAAACATCAACTTGTGGATTTACTCACAAAAGCTCTCCCTAGCTCTCTATTTGCAGATCTTCGGTGCAAGATTGGCGTTTCTGATCGATCGCCATCTTGAGGGGGCATATAAGGAAAGCATCTTATTATCAAGTGATTGATATAGCTTGATTATAATCTTCTTGTAATTAAGTTGATAAGAATTTCATTGCAATTAGCATCTTCTATTTTTGGTAGGCTATCTCTTGCTTTCTTGTATAAATACTGAAACAATATGGGAATACAAATTGATAATTCAGCGCCATCTTCTTAATCTTTCATAGAGTACCTTCAAAAAGTATGAATGTTTCACCACCAAATATTTCTTATTTTAAAGTGTTGGGTGTATATCTTTCTATAGAGTTCCTGACCATCCAAGAACAAAGTTGGGTCCTAGAGGAATAAAAAGTATATTTATAGGATATGCACAACACTAGAAAGCATATAGATTACTTGATCTACAGTCTAATGCTATTGTAAAACTTGTTCATGTTGAATTTTTAGAAAATAAATAAACCAGATAAGAAAACATGGAAATTTGTCTAAACAATACTCCGTGAAGAAGTTATCTCATATAACAAATCCAATCAATTAAATCACACTTATATGGGGAAATACATGTATTGAACTTCTAACAGAATACCTATCAGAAGACCAAACTATGTACCCTTGGGAATGACCTGTAAGATCTAATGTCTTAACTGTTACATTATACGATGCCTTCTGATTCAACACAGTAAATTTCAAGATTTTAGGATTAACAGTCACCTCGACACCTTTGAGCCCAGATACTTTAACTGTGTAAGCTGAAATTGCTTCTCCGACGTTAGTCACAGTCCTTGTATAAGTTTGAGCACTTGATTCCTTGGGAATTGAAAATGATGGGTAGTTCAACTCTGATTGAGGTATGCTTGATGTACAATGTACCTTCTTTTTCACAATGACACTGACTTGATCATCGGTATAGTTCAAGCCACATAAGTATGGGATGTAATCTTCGGGCTGGATGTCATAAATGAGTCCTGGATCATTTGCTCTTGATGGATTCACATGCCCTGATCCGACTGCAAGTAGATCAGCACGTTCTAGTGTCTCGTCCTGAATTGGATCGTTTCCAAGGTTAACGACATCAGCTGTGGTCATAATTGCGGATTTAATTGCAGCTGGAGACCAATCTGGATGTGCACTCTTTAACAATGCTGCAACTCCTGCAAGGTGAGGGCAAGACATCGACGTTCCAGAAAGGATGTTAAACGTCGATGATGAAGATGCCGATGCAGATGTTGTCTCACCCTCTATAGGGGTTGGCCAAGCTGCAAGGACATTCACTCCAGGGCCAATAATGTCCGGCTTTAGTATGCCCTGACTCTGCAGACATGGTCCCCTAGAAGAAAAGTAACCAACCGTTGGCGCGTGCTTGTCTCCAATCTTTGTTCCCTTGTATGATATTGTTGCAACTGGTGTTGATGTTGATTTCATATAGTTTATGATCTCTTGTCCATCCTTGTAACTAACCTGTGTCATGGAAAAGACATCATATACTGCCAATGTTGTAGAGCCACCTTCCTTATTATTCATGAGAATCATGCCAGCACCACCAGCATTTTTCACTGTTCTTGCTATTTGTTCTCTATACAAGCCACGTTTTGTATCACACAACACTATTTTACCCTTGACATCGATTAAATGCAACAAATCACAGTACTTACCATTCACAAGTGGTAATAATTTTCGCGAAAAATTCGTTGGTTGGAAAGCTGATTCGCCTTCATACTCAGCTCCGTTACCCAAAACTGCAACCGCCCTTATCTTTCTATCTGTTGTGCTAGCACCAACTGTGAGAATCCACGGGGCCCCGTTTTGCACAGTACCACTACCCGGTCCATCATTTCCTGCAGAGCAACTTACAAAAATCCCCTTCTCCATCGCGCTATATGCGCCAATAGCTATAGTATCATTATATAAAGGTGACCGAGAGTGTCCGAATCCAAGTGAAAGGGAAATCACATCCACACCGTCTTCAATTGCAGCATCAAGACCAGCTAAAATCTTGTATTCTAGACAAAAAATTGCAAAACAGACTTTGTACATGGCCACATGGGCTCGGGGAGCAATGCCAACAGCCGTGCCATTAGCATTACCAAAAAAAATTGGCATCATCCACAAAGTTCCCCCCGGCTGTGCTTGAAGTATGTGTCCCATGTCCAGCTAAGTCCAACGGAAACCTATCCGGTTGCACATAATTTCTTGCTCCAATAAGCTTCTTGTTACAATAAGTTGTAACATTGAATTCACATTTGCCTTTCCATTTAAGTGGTAGATTAGGCATTCCATTATCATTAAATGAAGGATGTTGAGGATCAATTCCAGTATCTAATATACCAATAAGCACACCTTTACCTGAATTTGATGCATTCCACAAACCAACATTCTGGTGCAAGCCAAGGAAACTTGGTGTGTGTGTGGTGTGCAACTGAAATATTCTTTGGGGGCGCGCTGACACAAAACCGGGCTTCTTTTCCATTTCTCTCACTTCATCTGATGACAACGTAGCAGCAAAACCATTGAACACATGACGATAGGAATATAGAATGCGTGATGAGTTATTCGAATTTGTAGGCAAAAATGATTGATGCCAGAGAAGTAAATCTTTGGAATTTGAGAAAAGTTGATCAGGAAATTCAAGATGTACTATATAAGTTTCTAAATCACTTTGATTAGTGAAATGGTCACCAAATGTTTTTGATGAATGAAGTAGGACAAAGCAGAGAAAAGTAGAAATGAATTTCAGATCCATGTTTTTTTAGGTGACTATCACATTTAGCAAAATGAACATATATAATGCAGTTAAATTAACATATAATTAATTTATAATAGATGTATATAATCTTGACTAGATCGTATGTAATTTATTATGGTCAGTAATTCAACTTTCTGCCAAATTATTCATATTAACTTAGTCAAACTGAAACAAGAACTTGATTTGAAAAAAATAATTATTCTGATGGTAATCCATAATTAGTAAGTTGACTGAAATTAAGAAGACATAATACATAAACGTGTCTTTTAACTCGGCATCATTTCACATTCATGCCCTCCAACTTTGGGTATGCATAAGATTAGAGTAGGCCCTTAAACTTGTATAAAGTTGAACAAAAAGGTACATGAGTCCTATGTGGCATAATACACGTAGGACACCACATAGGACAAATTGTCATGTAGGATGCCACGTAGGACGTGTGTGTCTATTTGTACAACTTTATACGAGCTTAACTCTTTACTTGGGCACACCCAAAGTTGGAGGGCATGACTGCGAAATGAGGCCAAGTTAAAGGGCATATTCATGTATTAATCTAATCAGTATTACAAGGAAGGAAAATCCTATGAATTCTTGGAAAGTCAGTAATTGTTTAGAATTGGCATAATGCATAAATATACCATTTAACTTGGTCTTATTTTACATTTATGCCCTTCAACTTTGGATGTGCTCAAGTAGACACTTAAACATGTATAAAGTTAAACAAGTAGACACATGAGTTATATGTGGCATAATACGCATAGGACACCATGTAGGATGCCACATAGGACGCGTGTGTCT